AAAGTTTCTCATTAAGGTAGAATTGTAAGTTTAAGCTAAATTGTTACCAAATTTAGAAAGGGGTCATTATTTGTGGAACGGACCAAAAAGGAAATAGGTTCACATAAACTGGAACGGAGGGAGTATTCATTTTTAAAATTTAATTACTGTTAAAATTTAACTAATTAATATGCATATGAATTGTAGATGTAGATGAAAGTGAAGATGTTAAGACAACCTTGTCACAAGCGGATTCAAATGTGTTTGATGAAGATGATGTGTTGGATATCCCATAAGCGTCATGGACGTTCTCGTGAATAGTTTGTTTTGAGTTTTGACTTTTAGTGAATGAAATATAGTCGTCTTTTACTTTTATTTAGTGTTTATTGTAATATATTGGAACAGTATAAAAAGTTATAAAGTTTTGCAGAAGTTTTCCAATAAGATATTTTTTTTTAACTTTTAAATAACTATCTTTTTTTAGGTCAGAACTTAAAGAAAAAATATAAAATTATATTTTAAAAAATGATGGATCGGCCGTGGGGGCCCGCGGCCCACATAGGACTGGGGTGGGCTGACCATTATAAGGCCCATCAAAATGGTGGGCTAGCCCAGCCCAGCCCAGCACAGCCCGTCAATTGCTAAAGCCCACGTGGGCTGAGCTGGGCCCGGCCCGGCCCATATTGACAGCTCTACTTAATTATAAGAAACTTTTCATGCCTTGAGGAGAATATTGTCATTTTTCTCTGACCAAAACCACTATATAAACCAGCTAGATCATCTCATTCTCTACACAACCAAAACACATTAGAAAACAAAACAAGACAAGAGAATTAAGAGGTACAAAAACCATGAAGAACTCTAGATTGGGAACATGACTTCTGGTGTTGCTGATTTATGCCACTCTTACTTACTGCTTAGATGCAAGATTACAAGTTTGCCAGCGGAGTGGCAAAATCAGAGGCGTAAAGCCGCCTCCAGGACAATGTAACCCGGAAAATGATTCAGATTGTTGCAAACGATCTCCAGTTGTTGCCCTTTCAATCGGATGGTATAGTGGAGGAAGTGTTAGAAGATAATTCTCAAAAATAAAAATATAACATATTCATTATCATTTACTATCCATGATTAATAGCTATTATTATAATATTATACTGACCTTTTATTAATATTGATACAAAACCATCTTTGATTAGCTATTAAAGGCTTTTGAATTCTTTTGTTCAAATTATTATTATCCGTTAGTAATAGCCTTTTAATGGCTTTGGGAGTTACAAAACGTTAAGATTTGTTTTGTAACATCTTTTCTTATTAATTCTTTAGTTTTTTAATGCTATATATGTTGGAGCATTTTAGCTAGCCATCTTATGAGATGGTTGTTCTTATCTATAAATTCCCAAGTTCTTTTTACTCTCAAGTGTGTGAAAAAGTAAAAAATTTTCTTCCCCTTCTTTTGTGCTGGGTTTTCTTTGATTTATCTTTGTTGTTTCTGCTCCTAGTTATATTAGAAGGGCTTGTTGAATCCTGGGGGATACACCTAATTTTATATATCACTGTGTCGGCGAAATATCCTTAAGGACAATGTCCTTGACACGCCTCAAGCTAAATCGTTTATTCTCCATATTTCAAATTTTTCCAAAAAGTAGGTGCCTTAACTATATCACTACAAGTGCTAATGGGAGAAGTGTGAAGGCTAAAGTCGTTGATGAGTGTGACTCTACCATGGGATGTGATGACGAGCATAATTATCAGCCTCCATGTCCGAATAACATTGTTGATGCTTCTAAATAGGGGTGTTTATGGTTCGGTTTGGATCGGTTTTTTCCTAAAATACAACCAAATCAAGTAAGTCGGTTTTTCAAATATTAGAACCAAACCAAACCAATTAAGTCGGTTTTTCTCGATCCGGTTTATGTCGGTTTTTCGGTTTTTTTGGTTATTTGTCGGTTTTTTCTTAAATATAAGACATACATTACCAAACACATATTCCGACGACCACATTTTCAATGTAACACTATCAAATCAATTGCCCTTTGAGAAATCTATTATTTACCAAGATATATTGATGATAATTGAATCAAATAGTGATGAATAATTTAAGGACTCAATTAAAAATATGTTATTTTTAACACGAAATGGATTCTTACACTAAACAAAAGAAAACTACCAATCAAACTAGAAAGTAAAGGTAAAGACTATATTAAAAGTGCAAACTATTAACATATACCATAAATTTTTTGAAACTTTGTATAACAATATACATATTTATAGGTGTAATAATAAATTTGAAATAGCTACTCCTATAGTCGGTTTGGTTCGGTTTTTTTCTGATTAAAACCAAAACCAAACCAAATTTGATCGGTTTTTAAAATTCAAAACCAAAACCAAACCAAACCAAAAAGTATCGATTTTTTTGGTCGGTTTAGTTTGATTTTCGGTTTGGTTCGATTTTTCGGATTTTTATGAACACCCCTACTTCTAAAGCAGTGTGGGAAGCATTGGGTATACCTGAAGGTGACTGGGCCGAGCATGACATTACATGGTCTGATGCTTAGTGCATCATTATATTATATTTATAGTATGGTTCGGAGATGATGGTACTATGCATATGCGGATTATGTACTACTAAATACTCACGTTTTGTCATTGTGAAATTACAATTAATGAAATTCTGTTCATATCGACTTTTGAAGTCATAGTAAAATGAAATCTCCTGCCTATTCAAGAGACCTAATTAGTGAAATCTGAGAAACAGGATTTGGTTCAGTAGCTAATCCAAACATACTACTTTTTGACCAAGATCAATAATAAAGAGGAAACTACACTAATTACCACTAAATCCAAAATAATAATCCGATTTTACCCATTTTAATAATAATTGCTATACCTACCTAACCCAACTAAAATTATTACCCGTCCACTCATTTCTCAATTGCCTTACCAACCTTTCTCCTCCTTAAAGCTTCCCTTTCCCCTTTCCCTTCTTCTTGTTTCTTCTTCTAGCAACAAAAATACTGTCTCCGTTTTACATATCTCATATTTTCTCGTAGTGTTTGTGTTTGTTCGAGTCACTGTCCAGTTTTTTTATTGTGATTTTAATGAGTGAGATTTGATATGGTTTAATGATAAGCTAAATAACTATTTTTGTACGTGCAATGTTACAAATAATTATTTCTAATATCCTTTGAGAAGTTCATAGTGATTTATTGTAAGAAAAATTAGATCAACAATTGAAAGACCATGAAACTTGAAAATTATAAATTGCATTTGTCGAGTTTGTAATTGTTTGATTAGATTTTGACTGGCGTGATTAAAATATCGATTGGCAACTGTAACTAAATGTTGAGTCAGTTTGGTCGAGATTGGAGTTGATTTGAGGTGATTGAGATCGAAATTTTCAGTTGAAAATCAAAGAAAAACACAACTACAGTAATAATCGAAGAAGAACACTTTACAGTATACCGCTACAGTATACTAATATACTATAGGAGTATATAGTTATACTACAACAGTATACCATTATAGTATACAAATATATTGTTATGGTATACTGTAATAATATGCAAGATATTGTAATAATATGTTGTAATAGTATACAATATACTATAATAGTATACTCATTTCCCGTAAATTCACTTGCCTTTTCCCTTTTAATTTGTTTTAAGCTTTTACCTAACGTGAGCGGCAAATTGAAAATGCAAAAAAAAATAAAAAAAAATTATAGTATGCTATATAATGTAATGGTATACTCTTACAATTAGATCCTTTTAGATTCTTATAAAAATTTTAGTGACAAATGATATTATTTCAGTTTAATAATTCAATTAAACTATTTTTAACTCTTTGCGTACAATTGTATACCCTGTTGGTATAACTATATATTATACTGGTATCAAATGTTAGTTAATAGTTTTTTGATCGTATTAGCTACATTTAATTGGTACACAATTTGATTTTTCTTTAGTAATAATATATAAAAAAAAAGAATAGCAAAAAATAGTGAAAATAGTAAATGAAATTAGATTATGAAGAGAAAAAGAATATAAAAAAAGAAGTTAAATGAAATTAGAATAAGAAAAAAGAAAAAATAAGAAGAAAACGAGAAAAAAGAAAAGGAGAAAAGAAAAAGAAAAGAAAAGAAGCATAGAAATAAAAAAGAATTGAAGAATAAAGAGAAAATTCCCCACTAGGAAATGTAATTAGTTTATGGGTAGAAAAACAAATGGGTAGATTAGGGTAAATAGTTTTGTTTTTGTGGGAGTGTGTCAAAACCCCCATCAATAAATCAATCAACTTTGCCCCGATACCAAATTAGTTGGTTCGGTTATATCAAATCTTTTATATTCTTTGAGAGGTTGCATCAAGTAGGACTATTTTTTACACAAACTCCTAGTTTATCTGTTTGTTGAACCAGCTTTACTTTGTACATAAGCTGAGTTATGAATTGTCCTCATATGGTTGAAAACTAAGCTGTTTTGACTAATATACTGATGCTCAATTCCTAGAAATGGAAAAAAACCGACATTGCTGTTTTAAACTTAATATAATAATGGAATTCAGCACTTCCGAAAATGCAGATTTATGTTTGCTCCCAAATTTCTTTCAGGGTCCTTTGTTTCTCACTTCTTATGTTAACTTATCTTAATTAGTCTACGTGAAACAATTTGATATTTTGTTGCACTTCTGCCTATTCAAATAGTCAAGACACCAGGCCAGGTCCCATCCGAAGAATAGTACCTCAGGTTCAATTTTTTTGCAGAATTCGTCGCAACAGATAGGAAAGACAGCAGCCAATCACAAGGTGTTTTGGTTTGAGTCCTTGTCCAATTCGGAATTTACATAACTGGTTCACGATTAATTCGAAATAAATAAGCTCCTTGATTAATGTAATTATAGGCGTCCTGTATTCAAAAGCATCCTTAAAAACTTAACGCTCTAGTTGATTTCCATAAGCCTGTACGTTCAACCTGCCGTTCCCACACTAAGTCACTGATCCATTTATGAAAGTAGTGACAACAGTATTCAGGTGGAAAATCCTCCAACAAATCAATTGGCAAATAGCTAAATGCAAAGATACAATGCTCTTCCAGGGAAGCTCTATCACTAATGCTCCCAAATGGTTCATATTACATGTTATATAGTACATACCGAGCTCTGGACAGAATAACCTAATGCAAATGGCTGATATACTTGACCATAGATCCAAGATATGATCATATATCAAAAACGATCTATATTTCTAGGTCTTGGATTCAGTAGCAGAGGCCATGGTTAATGGGGAAAAACCATGATCAAGAGTAGCTTTCCATACTTTGTCAATATCAAACATCATGTTACCACACTCGTGCTCTTTCCAACCTTCCAACGCGTGCAAAATTCCTGCTATTCTTCACGCGCTCATCACTCTTCTTGGCAGCCAATTCTAGAATTATAATGTGAATTACAATAACAAGATAGATCAAAAAAAATAAAGAGAAATAGAGGATATTAGATAACCGTTTCTAACCTCACAAGAGTCTACATTTTCAAGATGTTTTGGAGTAATCATAGCTGGTGTGCTGAAGTAGAAGCAATCCTTACGAGCTTTCTTTGGTGGGAATTGTGAATAAGGAATGAATAATGTTCCTTTTGGTGCTTTCAATTGTTCATCTTCACCCAATCCGTCTCCTACTAACCATATCTGCAGCATAATCAAGAACCTCTTTTGACTGTTACGAATTATGAAGATTCAGGACAATATACTTTTCGATGTATATTGGTTTGTACCTTTGAAACATTATAAGATTTCGACAGGACCAACTTAGTTGCAGCCTCAGGGGTTAGCTTTGTGTTAAGTCTCTTGTACTCTTCTTCGTCTAACGTGACAACCTATATATACAAAACATACATTCAAAACGAGCGAAAGGAAAACGGATATTGTGGAGTAGATTAATAATCAAATATACCTGAATTCCTCCTTGGTACAAGGTTAAGGCAATGGAGTAAGCAACTTTGGATAAATGGCCTCGAAGGACAACTTGGGCAGTTCCTTTAGGAATGGAATTTACGACCACAGCAGCAGCTAGGCTACTTCCATCAACCACCTTCACTTTCAGCTGAGGATTTCTCCTTATGTAAAGTTCACCATTGCTATTCAGCCTCTCTTCCTGGAAAGTTACATTTGTATAAAAGCATAAGTATCAGCCTACAAACCTTGAATTTTCTTTAAAAAAATTTTCTCCATAATAACAATTTTGTGATATCTTACATAACATTTTGCAGAAGCCTGCAAGAATATTACTATCAGTTAAGGATATGTCATGCATTTTTCTCATAGATAAAGTAAGGATGAGTATTGTTAGACTTTTTAGACATATACTTTGACTTGCCTGGTTTAAGAGTCCAAGGCTCAAAATTTTTATGCCTTTCTGATCTGCTTCAATGATTGCTTCCTCAATCAAATTGTTAATAGTCTCTCTTTGCGATTTCATTAAGTACTGCAACACAATCAAGTCATGCCGAATAATCTCTGTAACAACGGATCCAAAATATGGAACAATCTTGAATAATTTTTCATTACTTACTTGTATGCGATACTTTGGGATAGCCCAAGTTTGTAATTTGAGATTCTTGAACAAATTTCTCTCAACAATAAATGTGCGACCATAAATCCAAGTAATCATTATAGACCATAGTGTGATGGGCCATATTAACCAGAAATACCACTTAGAGGTGTGAGGCTTCGAGGCCAGAGACACAAACCCTAGTCGAAGATGGTAGATGGATTCTGGGGTTGTTAGATGTGTAAGGTGCACCACATCAGGCACTTCAGCTTCCCTCTCAAGTGACTTTTCGTACAATGTGTCTGACGACTTGTCCACTGTATCATAGATATAGTCATACATTGGCATGAAAAGTGAATAGTTTGTTCTGAATTGGGTGTGATGTAGTGAGTGATACCTGTGCCATCAAAACGTTGATATTAGTGGCTAAAGAATAAACAGGATCTTTACAAACGGAGTACAGAACTTCAGTGATTACTAACGCGCCCAATATTCTGTAGGAATTTTGCATTGCTTGTTATAAAAATGTAGTTATAATTACCATATAAGTGACCTGATCGTGTAAATATATTATGTAGAATTAAGCTCATTGAGATATAGGCAAAAAGACTCACGAGGGCGTATACATCAAGTACTTGAGAGGAGGAAATATAGAGAACATCCACTTAGGAATGAGCTCAAAGTTGCAATGCCCCATGTTGTTCATGAAATCAATATAGGTGACATAAGCACCAACTGCAGCTATAGAGACAGTCCGAGTGAATATAGTAGTGAGCAATGGTATGGCGAAGAGCGTGAAATATGATAAGTGCTCAGCAAATGGATGAATTACAGCTGCCAAATTAAATACAATAAGTACTTTGTAAGTCCTCATCACAAATATAGAAAAATGATACAAAATGTTTTTGAGAGGACAACGTTACTTACAAGTGATGGGCTCAGTAACAATGGAAGAGTGGTGATGAGAATGGTAACGAGAGTAGAGAAAATGGTGGTGTAAAGCTCTGTGAAGCCAATAATAGAGAAACTCGACAGGACCAATATGAAGCAAAGCAATAATAATGATGCCATCAGTTCTCCACAAAGGCGGGTGATGAGCTTGTTCCAGCATCAGATATGTGATATAATATAACAGCCCATTAAGTATGATCTGATCATCCCTACAACACGCCAACCTTAATCAATCGTGCCATGTACAATTTAATTTGTTAGATTTTTTTTAATTAAAAGTCCAAGAACCTAATACGTTCGGTCAAACCTCTTTATAACAGATCACACAAACTATATATGTCTTTGTTAAAAGTATAAATATTTAAAGTATGCCGGTCCTTTTTTCAAGGTATTTATTATATTAAAAGTTGGATTACAATGTGGGATGTGCTGATGTGACGATTTAAACCAGTAACAATAATTTTAATTTGGTGTATCGAAAAGGTTGGATTTCTGGCATTATGACTTTTTTGTGACTTACTAATTATTATGAAATTTACCTTCTCTATTATGACTTATTAGGACTTGGTGCACGAGGGTGTGTATCTTAACGCTTACGACTATTTGGAGTGGAGCAGATGAAGAATGAACTAAGGCGTAAGGATAGGAAATGACATACCAGTTGCTTTCTCTGTCAACTTGATCAAATTCTATGCTTTTATCAACAATTCGATTATTACCCTTAGCAGTCCTGTAGCGAGATAGAGATATCCATATCTGGTTGTGAATCACTCTCGAGAGTAGAAGTGGGAGTATGATTATGTATATAATGTCCCTCTGGCTTTCATCTTTGCTCATAAAGTATGTGTATATGCTGTGACCCACAAATGGTGCCAAAACCAAGTACTTCATCCCAAACAAATCAATATTGTAAAAAAGTCAGCAGATTCATGATTAAAAAAACCCACAAAAAGGAAAAAAAAAGATTCATGATGCAGAATCGTAATGTTATTGACAAAGAAATAAGAGGGAAGAAATTGAAGAAGTGTTGCATGAAGCTTAATAGTTACGTTTACCTTTTAAAGAAAAAGGTAATGAGTTGCCAATACTATGAGAGAATTCCAAAAGACCGCTATTTTTCTGTAGAATTTTCTAAAACGCTAACTACGTACTTTCATTAGTATAAGAAATTAAAGCATATTTCCTGGAACTTGTCACATTTAATACTCCTAAATTTTTAGGGAAAAAGGCTCAAAAGAATTCCTTTTCTCTCTTTAGATTCTCTTTTGGCCAACCGTCTACATCTCCCTAGCTCCATATTAGTAACCATTTTTCCAAAGAAAGAAGGAAAAGAACAGGAAAAACGAAACAAACATACATTGGACTGTAAGAACTCAGCGCAATACCGTAGAAGAAAGAAGATAAGCAAATTGTTAAGATACATTAATAAGAAAGCCAAAGCCACATGCTTACGAATAGGAGTGCCAAACTGGCGGGTCGGGTCGGATATGGTTCGGGTCGAAAATGAGTAATGAAAAAACGGATCAATTATCTGACCCGACCCATATTTAATACGGATAGAAAACGGGTTAACCGGTGGATAATATGTAATATGGGTAACCATATTATCCATAAATTCTTGCATATGATCACTTTTGGGAGAATTCTTAATCTCTCCAACTTGAGGAACCCCCGATTTGAGGCTTTACAAATGTAAAAGTTAGATCCACTGGTTACTCATTGGTTATCCATTTTCTAAATGGATAATATGGTTCTTATCCATATTTAATTCATTTTTAAAAAGTTCATTATCCAACCCATTTTTTAGTGGATAATATGGGTGGTTAACTGTTTTCTTTTAACCATTTTACCACCTCTACTTAGGAATATACTTGAAAAACATATGACGATTTGACTGAAAAAGAAAGGGGAAAAATAGTTGGGAAATTCAAGAAAGGGTACCTTGAAATTTCCAAGAAATGTCCATGGCCATTCAGTGAGAATGCCAGGTTTAGAAGCCATGCTTTTGTACAGCTTCTTCCTTGCAAAATAAAGTGCTTGTAGTTTTGGCCACCTTAGAATTGTTCTTCCTCTATATATGTTCTTTTAATTAAAAGCTTCTCTCCTTATATAGAGCTGCATAGTACTCCCTCTAGTCCAAAATAAGTGATTTTTTGAATGTTTTCACACAGATTAAGAAATTCATCTTTTAGTATTAATTAGCAATGAAATTGACCATATTAACTTTTACTGTCTCACATAAACACTCCTAACACATACTCCAACACTATTTACTCCAAGGATAATGTATGAAAAAAATAATTAATTCATTCTTGAAATTTGAAAAAATCACTTATTTTGGACCACAAAAAAAGGCCCAAAAAATCACTTATTTTGGACCGGAGGGAGTATTTAATATCCGTTCAATTAATGACCTTCACCTGCAAAGTCTACTCTGGATCAGTAAGCACATGTATGATATGTAACCAGACGAGTTCATACGACACTTCGCTAAAAAGATTAAGTACTATACTATACATAATTTGTGTATATATACTATATATTAAAATGGAGTACTTAATTATTTTTCTCCTTGACTTGCAAAAGAAATTTACTTACGCACTTTTGAATTTGCTGATGACTTATTACAGACTCCAACTTCACAAAAATGGAACTAGCTAGACCCCCTTACACTATCACGTGACAAGCGCGTGTTTAGCAAAAAAATATACTATTGAAGTGTGTGAAAGTATTCAAAAATAGTACTATTCATTTTCATATTTTGTAGCACTACTGTCCATATACGAGTAGTACCTCAGATACAACTATTCGTCCCAAAATGATCTGTAGCAAGAACAGTTCAAGATGAATTCGAAGAAGTCAATAATTAATTAAGGAGTAGAAGGCCTTGATTGTAACTTGCTGAGATGCATAGAATCTACGTCTTGCTTTTGTAATTTTTTACGTGGTTCCATCAATTCATTTCTAAAAGCGTTTCTGCTGTATGCATATGTAAAGTTTATTGGATAAATTAAAGTTCTTTTTACTCACTGATTACGACATCAAAAACCATGACGGAAAGCAGAAATACCATTGGAGTTCTTGGTCCAATTTGTGTTACCCTACTGATGAGGGAGGATTGGGCTTCAGAAGGTTGCAAGATATCAGTGAAAGTTTCAATATGAAAAGATGGTGGTGTTTTAGAACTAGTAAGTCTTTGTGGTCTTATTTCCTCAGCTCCAAATATTGCAAATTTGTCTCACCGGTGGCCAAGCTATCTATTTCAACCCAGTCGCAACTGTGGAGGAATATGTTGAGATGTCGGGAAATAGTGGATGAAGATGGGATATTGTGGTAAATAAATGCTGGAGATAGTAATCTTTGGTGGGATAATTGGACAGATATGGGTGCAATAGCTAGGATCATACTGGTGGACGAAATTCATGGCAATCAAGTGGTCAAAAACTTGATTAATAATGGTAATTGAAACATTGAACATATGCACTTTCCAGAGTTTCTTGCGGAGCACATTCTCACTATACATATTGGTGATCAGAATTGTCCAGATGTGCCTATTTGGACGCCTAATGTAAATGGAACTTTTTCTACTTCTTCAGCCCGAAACATTGCTAGACAGTGAAAAGAGAGATCACCTTTGTTGATGAAGATTTGGCACAAGTTTCTCCCATTTAAGATATCGTTCATTATGCGGAGAATCCTTAAAAACGAATTGCCTTTTGATGATGTTCTTCCCATTTTTAGCCAGAATATTGTATCCATGTGTTTCTGCTGCAGGGATCCACAGGTAGAGTCCCTACATCATACATTCATGGGAGGAGAAATAGCCTCACAGATCTGGAAGATTTTCGGCAGTCCGTTGGGCGTGAGATGGAAAGAAATTCCTATCACGACTATGCTTACAAGGTGGTGGAGTACCAAGCCAAAGAATAGTGTTCATCAAACTCTACTTCTATCACACCTATGTTTATTGTAGGGAAATTTGGAAGGCTTGGAGCGGTGTTCGATACAGGGACTCTAACACCTCAATTAGGAGAATTCATTACCAAATTCTCATCCACCTCAAATGGATTGTATCCAAGACTAAGGTTAACAGGAACTGGGCTGCCGATTGGTATGGTATTTGTGGTCAAATTATGCAACTTTCCCCCGTTATTGATTGCAAGCTGGTAAAGTGGGAAAAACAACCTGACTCTTGGATTAAAATGAACATCAATGGGAGTAGAAATATACAAGGATCAGTTGGAGGTGGGGACATTTGCAGGGATCATGACGGCAACATGATTATGGCTTTTGCCTCCTCGTTCGGGAACTGCAGTAGCAACTCTGCTGAAGCCAAGGCTGCATTATTTGGAGTTCAGTGGTGTATTACACACGGTTTTTCTAATATAATTCTTGAATGTGACTCACTTCTGACTATCAACATGCTGAATGGATATAGCAAACCTCCATGGCATCTGTTGGAAATTGTGTTGAAAACTAAGAACTACATCAATATGGCTAATGTTAGAATTCAACATGGATTTAGAGAGGTCAATCAAGTAGCCGACGCTCTATAAAAATGGAGTATTGAAAATCCAGATCATGTATTTACATCAATCAATACTCTACCTCAAGGAGCTAAGGGACCATACAGGTTGGATTTGATGCAAATGGCCTCTCTAAAACATAAGCATAGGAAAAACTGTTTTTTATGATAGGATGTTGATAAATGATGAAAAGTGCATATTTTTGAGTATATTTGCATATTAATTCTTGTGTGAGTCGCGGGGGTTTACGGGGTTTTCAAAGTGAAATATACTTATTATGTGTTTCTTATGTAGGAACGAGTTGGAATGATAAATGATCAAATGATGACAATTCGACACAAAAAGAAGAGATGGAAAGAATTGGGAGCTCGTCCAATTTCGTGTGTGGCACGAAAACGGACGCAAAAAAGGATAAAAATGAAGACACAAAACGGCGAAGCGAAGCGAAGGCACGGATCGCTTCGCGAACTAGAAAATTGCAAAATCTGAGTCCACGTCCAAGTTCGTGCGCTGCACGAAAGTTGATGCGCCCTCCCGCTCTCCTATCCGAAGTTGGATTGAAAACTTCCATCCCTCATCAACCCTAGGTCATCTAAATACATCCTAAAATACCACTTTGAAGGGGGAGAAGACTTTAGGCAGGAAAGAACACGCTAGGTGCAAGAAGGAAAGGATTCAACTTCACATTTTCCCTCTCTCTTCCTCTATTTCTATTATTGGTTATGAATTCTAGTATTGTAGCTTTGCATACTATTATGAATAGCTAATTTTTTATCTAGGGTTTTGATGAAAACTTTTAGAGGATGAATTCTTGTTATATTTTTATATAATTGAGCCGTTGGATTTTTCTACTTGTTCAACTACGTGTTTGTTATTTTTGATTGAATGGCCATCAATTGACTGTGCCTATTTAGTGTGTATTACTTGGAAAAGGATACATATTTGGATAGTTGTTTGGCAACATCACTCCTAACATATGTGAGGAATCAATACGGAGGATTTAAAGGTGGGATTATGAATAACGAAGCTTTGGTGCGATTTTAGTGAGCGGTGCACTAGTTCCAGCTGGCGTAGTTCAGAAGAATATGTCTAGTAAATTGTGGTAGTTCTCGAAAGTGAATTGCGACACACGAAGTACCCACGATCGATAGAGAATACTTAGGCGAAATTATAAAAGACGCAGCGGGAAGGATTCCAACAATTGGGAAAATCATAACTCTAGACCTCATTAATCTTGTCTCCAATCCTTATCCTTGTTAATTGATAGTTTTACTGCTTTCTAGTATTTGTTAGTTAATTAGATAAAAATAAATATTATAATCTTTATCATTAGGAAATTGTTTGGGCTTGTGTTTCTTAGCGATATTGAACAACTGTAGCTAAGCTTAGTTCTCTGTAGGGTTCAACTCCGGACTTGTAAACCGGATTATATTTGCGACGACCGCTTAGTCCTTTTTATAAGGCATAGTTGGGCGTGATTAAAATCTGGCACCGTTGCCGGGGGAATAACGGTGTTATTAATTACAGCTAAAAGAATTTTTAGAATTCGTATTTTATTCAGCTTTCTTGACTTGAAATTCATTATACTGAAACTCTAACATTTGTAGTCTTGAGTGTTACAGGTGCATGCCTAGAAACTCCTCAAGAATCGGTGAATTATTTGAAGCATTATCGGATCCTGAGAAAGCTTTCAAGGCATTAAATCGGGCAAACAAGATGGACAAACGACAACAGAACTCAACAAAACGAATCGATCTAGACGTGGGTGACGTAATAGATAACCCAAACAACAGAAACAATAGGAATGGCCCGAACAATCAGAGTGTGGCACCTCTTGTGCCAGAAGCAGCCTTGTATGATTGGGCACAACCCACCGCTGAAAATATGGCAACCACAATTGCAGTCTTTCAGATACAAGCGCAATCATTTCAAATCACAAACAACATGCTACATTTGTTGCAGAACAAGGGACTGTTCTCAGGGTCTTACATTGAAGATCCTCAACAGTATCTGAAAATTTCTTGTCTATATTTGTTACACAGAGGTAACCAAATGTGACACCGGAAGTAATAAGGTTGTTGTTGTTTCCATTCTTAGTGGCCGGAGAGGCTCCACCTTGGCTCAATTCGCTCCCCATAAACTCTATCACCACTTGGGAGGAGCTAGTCAAGCAATTTTTGAACAAGTTCAACCCACCCAATAAGACTGCCAAGCAAGTTGATGAGGTACTGAGCTTCAGGTAGGAGAGGTTCAAAGGGATGCTGGTTAAGTGTCCACATCATGGCATTCCAGATCAGATGTTGGGGCAAAGGTTCTACATGGGATTGGCAGACAGCTTGAAGGCCAATGTTGATGCTTCAGCAGGTGGAGCATTTTTGAGCAAATCATTCAGGGAATGCAAGATCTTACTTGATAAAATGGCTCAAAACTCAGGATGGATGACAAGAGACTCTACAATCACTCCTGTAGTTCACTCAGTAGCTTTAGACCCAAACAACTATATGGCTGAGAATATGGCTGCGATGATGACGCA